AGCGTCGCTGAGAATCTCCAGGAGGGTGTTGCGGTGACTCTCGGCAGCCGAGAGAGAGGAAGCCTTCTCCCAGGTCCGGTAGTAGTAGATGGTCTTACTTTTAGCCAATTCTGGCTGTTTCTGGAGTGACATTAAAATTACTTGCTTACATATCTTGTAGTTAATACTTATTTTATGTTTTTTTGAAGGCTCAAATTGAATTTTTTTAAGGGAGTAAATTCCTAGAAGATTGTCTTTACCAGCTAGAGATTCCAATGTAGTATGGTGTCAATAAATATTATAATAGAGTTGTTCATGTATAAACAATTGAGGGGAACAGAATCAAAACAATTTGAGAAGAAAATTTGAAATAGATATTGTAAAGAAGACACCATCTGATCCCGATTTTGGCGAAGGGTGTTCTCTTAAACAAGGCCACAAATACTTATTAAGGGCTCTGAATATGCGTGTTGAAACACCAATTCATCGTTTCATTACCTTGCTAAAGGGTGTTTGTTATATGGTTGGATTGATGACACATGGCATCCAGGGAAAACGTCACAGCTCTAACCACTAGACCAACCTTGGCCTACTTAGCAATACGAAACAATTATAGCGTTGTATATGGGAGCACATTAGTGAAATTCTTTTACGTAACCTAGACCCATCGGTCAATAGTTTCAAAAGTAAAAATGTATTGAATACAGTTTACCTATAGAAAATAACAACAACAACCTACATGCAAATGTATATGAAATGTACAACTCTACATCAGGTTCATTTGGACGTCAATTTATTAGCGTAGCGTCAGCCCTTACCTTAAATAATGTTTTTTTTATCGTCAGTAAATTTAATATTCATACAAAATGTCACTAATTAAAAATGAGACAATCTACAAATATATTACAGTAAGGAACTATTGGTCCACAAAATAAAATACATTTGACTATTTTTGTGTTTACCTCGAACTTGGCATTAAGATATTCATCCAGTTTCTCGTAGAACTCGTTTTCAATCATTCCATGTACAAGTTCTACATCGTTTAGAAGATAATAGCTTTCCATCTCTGTCAGGCCCCCCATTAGGTCGTACCTGAAACATAAATTAAACATACTTTAAGTAGTTCTACTCAATGACTTACACTGTTCCTTATGCTTAAATTAAATGCTCTAAATTAATATCTAAATATTTCTAAATATGCCGATGTGTACATACGATTCAGCAATACAATAATAGTGAAAAACCTTTGGATCTAAACCAGCATTAAATGTGTTTGTTTTTCTAAAATAAATATGTAATATGAACATACACTTTAATAAGGAACACTGTAGTCATTGAGGCACAGCAAATTTAAGAAAAAATATAAGAGCCCTTAAAACATTGGATGTGTTTCTAGTAGGTGATTAGCATTTTGGACTTCGGTAAGGGAGGGACAGGTTCGTTTACCACCATTTCCACAACATGCATTTGGACCACTTTCTCCAAAAGCGTTTTGGTACTTTCTCCTTCCATTCCTAATGTAAAAATGCCACCGGAGCAAGAAAACTAATATTTTTTGTATTTTCATACTACGATTAGTTTTAATGATTTAACTTTTCCTTAAAGCATGTTAAGAAAATGTTATGAACTTTTTAAGCCAAGTAAATTCTTAAATACAGGTACTACTGGTGAAATAATTATGACATGCATAATACATCTTATCTTATCTTATCTTATAATATTATAAATGTGAAAGTTTGTTTGTTTGTTTGTTTATTTTTATGTTTGTTTGTTTGTTTGAAGTTCGATCATGCATTAACTAAGGAACCGATTGGGCTTAAATATGGCATGATGATAGCTCACATTCCCGATTAACATATAGGCATATTCTTATTTCAAAAATCATTTCGGGCTCTGCTCAAGTATAGCTGAAATACGCATTTTATACTTATACTGCAACCCCGTACCAAAAACGGGTTCTTTGCTAGTGTAATATAATGTAAAAAACATTTTTGAAAACCCTTAAAAACTTAAAAAAAATTTGTAAATTTAATTTATTTTATACCCACTGTTGGAACAGATTCTTGTACTCGCTCATGATGAGAGAGGGGTCATTAGGGATGACCTGGCCGTCTACCACGGGGCCGAATCTAGTCTTGAAGGGTGGCACATGAACTGTGACGGAGGTGAGCTCGTGCAGGCGCTTCCTACGAAGGCAGCTGGCCATGGCATCCTGGGAATCCGGACAGTTAAGAGCCTGAGCGACCTGGATGGTGGCCTGGACTGGGTTAGAGGTAAGTGCCCAGTCGGATAAAGCAGTCCCACTCATCAGAATAGCCCGCTTGAACAACCCCCCTGAAAAATATAAATCATGTTACTCTTATATTTTAGTTAGAGATTAAAGGATGTAGTCTTGATTACGAAAATATGGTTGGTGGATGTTTATTATATTGAAAAAAGTAAAATTTCAATACTAGAATATAAGAAGAAAAAATTAATAAGTCTTAAGAAACCCCATAATAGGCAAAACACAGTACAAATGTCTTATGACTTATTTAAGTAAACGAAACTATAATTAACTATAAGTATCTGGCTAATAATGAGTCACGAAAATGTAGGTTTAATGTCTTAGCAGAAAGGTGTTAGCCTATCATGTGGTCTTCAATAATAATTGTTCATGTTTTTCTTGTTATTTTAAATTAAATAATCACAAAATACTTCCTCTTTCTGGTATTATGTTATTAATTTTTCTTTTTTAAATAAGTTAGATTTTGTAAATAACTCTAAAATCGATACATTTGTGTTTTACAACTTATTTGATCAGTTGAGATGTTTTTGGACATGCAAACAGTTCTTAAAATAAGCTGAAGTAACTAGACTAAGTAGTATGTAATATGACATTAAATTTATTGAATAGTCGCATACCAATTTCTATTTATTAACAGGGTATTTCCAATTTAAGTTTCATCGTATTGTTTTAATACTTTCAATTTAATTACATTTATCAATTTTGTTTTTGTACTAACTCGTTTTATGTTATTTTGACTTTGAAGTTTTTTCAATTGACACTATTTTGAAATGTTTGAAGTTTTATAAAAGGTTTTTTGAGTATTTTGATAAAAAAAAAAACTACCTTAAGGTGTAGCCTACACCCAGTTACACGATAACCAAGGGGATTTGAGATATTAATTGTTTGCAAAGTTACCAAATGACGGATTGGTTAAAAATAGAAAATCCATCGGGATAACAATTTTGACTTACCAAATTAAATTAAATTATTTAATTGATTAATTAAATTTGAGGCACATTTTTTACTTACCATGATATGGACAACCTGGCTCCGTAAAGTCCGCTATATATTTTTCTGACGCCCAGTATGGTGTGTTCACCAATCTCACAAGGATCTCAACAGATTACCTTAAATTGATTTAAAGAGGCTTAAAGTGTTCTCTAAAATATGGTATTGTATAAAATACCCCCGCCGCAGCAAACCTGCAGACTAAGCGAATTTCCATTTGCCTGATTGGATTTACATTAAAATGTCTCCTTAAAAATATCACATTTATTCCCTATTTAAATCGAATCAGTTTAACACATACTTAGGTTTGCTGCAACAGGGAGGATTAAAGTGTTTTTATGTAAAATGTTAATAGTTAGTAAGAAATAAAAACATTTTCCAAATTTGGGCAAAATATGTTAATAAATAAGCAAACTACAACAGTTTACTTATCCTCCATAAGAATAACATGGGAATTTTAAATTTACAATTTTTTTGAATTTTCTCCATAACCATTAGGCGCATTATAACACTTCAATATACTAAATTATATGTTTTTTTAAGCTCTACAAAATAGTTTGGAAAGAAATTGCAAAAATTTTAATTTTTTTGGGTCAAAAATGGGAAAAACCCATTTTTACCCCATAAAAGCCCCCATTAACCCCCGTTCCCATGGCCCGATCATGCTGGTTCGCGAACTCGTTCGAATAAACGTAGGTTTACACGTTTGTACCAAATTTCATCAAAATCGGATCATTTTTGCTCGAGTTATCGCGCTAACGGACACATATATATATAAATATATATATAAATATATATATAAATATATATATATATATATATATATGAATTTGAACGGTTGCTGTTTTTGGCCTCTAGGGACCTCAAAACGAAAAAAAAAATCGGTCCCGGGTCCAGGTCTTACCATGAGTACTACGGTAATAGCTTATTCCCTATATGGGAAATTCGCTAAAAATAAATAATCCCTAGTAGGCCTATGTCATAGCTTACGCCATAATATAATACAAGAATTCCACGACGATTTCCTACATGCTTCCTACATCCGCAATTGATGTTTATTACTATCAACGAAAAAAGTTTGGTAATAACTTCTGGTATAAATTTACCTGTATAAAACATTTAAGGGAAAACAAAATATTTGTTTAAACGTATTATAAAGTTTGACATAGATATGAATGTCAATATAAGCAATGCTTACTTTAGCAATGTAAGCTGGAAATACACGCTCAGTGCTATCTTTGAAAGGATGCGATCTTTTGGTAAAACGGAGAATTTCTCGGAAACTGTTTCGACAGATACTCTGAGCTTTAAATTGGTTTTGCGTTTCACATAAAATTGACTCTCTGTGCCTTGACATTTTCTACATTTAAATTGTCTTGTCTTGTGTGTGTCGTATTAATGGATTTATATGGCCCGTTTTATTATGCTATTAGACTACACTCCGAGGATCTTCCCCAAACCTAACCACTACGTATGACTACTACTTGTTCCATACCTCGATTGCCCTCAGCTTGTGCCAGAGGTGAGATCATGAGATAGCTGACGCAGGCGGCGCCTGTACCATGTCCCATGAGAGTCACACTCCGAGGATCTCCTCCAAACTTAACTACTAAGTACGACTACTGCTTGTTCCATACCTCGATTGCCCTCAGCTTGTGCCAGAGGTGAGATCATGAGATAGCTGACGCAGGCGGCGCCTGTACCATGTCCCATGAGAGTCACACTTCGCGGATCTCCACCAAACTTAACCACTAAGTACGACTACTGCTTGTTCCATACCTCGATTGCCTTCAGCTTGTGCCAGAGGTGAGATCATGAGATAGCTGACACAGGCGGCGCCTGTACCATGTCCCATGAGAGTCACACTCCGAGGATCTCCTCCAAACCTAACCACTAAGTACGACTACTGCTTGTTCCATACCTCGATTGCCCTCAGCTTGTGCCAGAGGTGAGATCATGAGATAGCTGACGCAGGCGGCGCCTGTACCATGTCCCATGAGAGTCACACTCCGAGGATCTCCTCCGAACTTTGCAATGTTCACTCTGACCCACTCTAGCGCCGCCACCTGGTCAAACAGACCAAAGTTGCTGGGCACGTGGTCACTCACTCCCGGCTTCAGGAAACCTAGAAAGTTATTTCAACTTAATCGCTTTCATAGTAAACAGGGACATCATTGAAACCTATTTCGTCTTTATGATAGTTGTATATAGCTTTATTTCTTTTTTACGAAATATTGTAGGATTCAAAAGCTTCGGGCATGTAAATAATGCGTTTTACATACCCAATATTGACACAAAATATTTGCTATTTTGGTATATTTAAAACTAAGCTGTGTTTATAAAAAAGTAAAGTTTTATCATTGAATCAGTATATATCTCCAATATACAGAGATAGTTATCGTTCTGGGTTTATTCAATTGACTCTTATTTTATTATTTTAACATGAATATTCTACCGCTTTTAACATGATAAAGAAAATATTTATTTGCCATCTGTTATTATATCTTACGACTTCTCAATCAGCATTAGAGACTATATTTACGTTCATTGTTATTCTAAACTAACCAAGTATGCCAAGACGAAAGTTGATAGTCACAACCACCACCTTGCCGTAGCTTGCCAACACACTTCCATCGTACAGGTTCCCGGAGTTCCACTCAAAGCTCTCCCCATGGATGAACACGATCACCGGTAAGTTGCTAGGCTGTCTCTCCTCCCATTGATAATGATTCTCTGGAACAAAACATACTATTTATGTATCTATTATAAAGTATTTTTTGTTCATAAGTATTTTTGTGGATGCTACATTTTGTATGTAAATGAAACGTAAGATGCATAGTGCCAGATGAGACCAGTGTGTTTACTCGTATAAAGCAGCGCAGGTACTAAGTCCAGAACTGTTTTATTATTGCATGACAATACCGCGTGTTTTGCGTCCTATATTGGATACTTAACTTAATTTATAAAATCCCTTATATAGTTTTGGTTTAAAATCTCTTGAAAACGTAAATTTCCACTTTCTTGTTGTTAAAATCATGTCTAGATTATGTACTAACTATTTATTAATCACTTTTAATTACTTTTTTGGTTTCACAACTGATCAGACAATTTACTGAAATAACCATCCCCTCTGTTTTTTGGCACAGACCAAGTATTGTGCGTCACGTTACTTCAGGTCAGGTCAACGAATGTCCTAAGCCCGCAGGACTTGCGCTATTTCTGATATTTAATTATTTTATGACCCAGACGATATACCATTTAAAGTCACAACTCTTAGCTTGGAGAATTCCCTGAACGTACTGTGACAAACAAGTTCAATCATTCCCAACCTCTGTCATCATTGGGATTACCCCCACAGTCCACCGATAACAGTCCTAAATGATAAAGTTCTAAAGCGGGGTCTTTCCCAAGGCACAGAAGACAAAAGTGTGTGTGTCTTTGGGGGTTCAAGGGCAGTGGATGCAATATGGTGACACGGCCTTGTCCATCCTGAACAGGTATGATCGAAAATAGCCGTGATATGTAAGGAACTGGATAAGGTAATAATCCACACCCCCTTCCTCCCCCTCACCCGATTTACTCAATCTAGAATTTCCTTAATCAGTGATTGTTCGGCTTTCCCGTGTTTCCTGTGTCAAGTCTTTTCTTGGTCAGAATCATGATCTCAGTTTCGCTCAGAGCGAGTGAGATACCGTGGTCTGCCATATACCATTATTGCCTATTATTGTCATTCTTTAATTATTGATACCATCTCTATTTATACCTAACCATAGATCAGATATACTTACCAAGGGCATCTATATATATAATAAGCTATGCCGATTTTGTAAACAGAACTCCTCCCTCATTTTTGGACCGATTTTGATGATTAAAGTGTCAAAAAAATTTCCCTGATGTGTAGTTTTGCAAAGTCTTTTTCGTTTTTTGAAATCTTTATTAGTTTGGGCAGGATCTTCCATCAAACTTGGATTTTCTCCCATAAGATTAACTAGGGGGAATCTAAATATTTAATTGGAAACTATGTCTCCACTAATTTTTAAGAAGGGATCAAAAGTAAACATAAATAATTATCGACATATCACCTTACTCTCAAACATACAAAAAAAAATTTGAAATGGTCAGGCCTATGTGTGATAACCTAAGTAGATTTCTTGAAAATAATTCTTTCTTTCACAATTACCAATTTGGCTTCAGAAAAAACATGAACACTCAAACAGCTCTATCAAATTTTGTTAATAAAACCATGTTGGCCTTGGATGAATCACAGTATGCAGCTGGTGTTTTCTGTGATTTACATAAAGTGATTTTATTTTCAGATTTTAAGGTAAACATTTATTTTCTCTAACTTCCGTTTTTTTTCGATTGAAATAATTATTAACCTTGAAAAAGTACTGATTTTTTTGCTAAATTCATTCATTGAATTAACAAATAATTCACTTGAAACGGACATGATAACTTACACCCTACTATACTATTAATCTTGCTATATATGTCAAGATTACAGTATGGCTAAAAGAAATTGTGGAATCGCTTGACCACGATGTATGCATGTGATGGTATTTGATGATGATTTGATTTTAATGCTTGATTGATTCAACGTTTGATTTCTAATCCGGAGCATCCGATTGCTAAAACATCAGGCATTCATCGTACCCGGGTATTCAAAATGTCATTAAACCAGCATCCAACCACAAACGTTCTACATATGTTTTAGTTCATTGGAGATTAAAAGTCGTGTAGAAAGCACTTTAATCTTTGATCTATTTTTAATCACTATCCAGGCCTTTAGTCCCATTGTGTACGTTTGATAATTAATGTCAGGTAAGTGTCATACAAAATTTTATTGAAATGGGCTCTAGAACTGTACTTCAAATACAGTATTTACTGATTATTGGTTTCATGAGCACTTACACGTCCCATTCTTTATCAAAAAACTCCACGCAAAATCTCCGAAAATTAAGGGTTCAGCCCGTATTTGTAAGCAAACATAAATCCTTCAATTTTATGAGTAGCTTTTAGGTAGAAGCTATGAGCAACTAATCAAAATATTCCATACGCACCCTAAATGATGTCCTTGTATCTTAAAGCAATGGTAGTATAGGTACAAATGTCATTTTTTATATATGTTGAAAATCTTAAATCTATATCTAAATCTATAAAAGAGGAAGTATGTATGTATGTATACATCCACTAGACGATTTGAAGTGAATATATTAGTTGGGGTATTGAAAATAAAAATAAATTACAATTTGTTTTACAACCAAATAAGATTTAACGATTGTCGAACCCTAAAGAGGGTTGAGATGACCTGGATGGGTTAAGATTGGTGCACAACGTGTCCAATGGACAGGATAATTGGACAGAATGAATCAGATTCAGTCAAAGTCTGATTGGAAACCTGACAGTCTAAAGGCTGAAAAGAAATGTCACAGGAGATAGGCTTAACATGTTCCACCTACTTCTTGATAAAATGAAACCGAAACACCTCAAGGATATTTTCCAGCTTTATCAGACAATTTTAGAGAGCTTGTTGCAAAAGTGCAAATATATTTAAATCAAATATGATATGAAATAACAATTGATTTATATTATTGTTAATATTTTTTCCAAAATCAATAATTAATATGACATATTTGTTTGTAAAACAAAGCCACTTTGTTTAGTATATAAAGGATTTTTCGTCGTGCTGTAGCAAAAACAATCGTTTTCACAGTAATGTATGCGTCTAAAGTAGCATTTTTACTCCCTAGAAAGTAAAAGGCTAGTCCCTAACGAGTAAAGATCAGCTGTTGTAAACCCACTTGTAAACTTAGATTGTCAGCAATCGTATGGATCGAAACGATGTATATATTGATTTAATCTTTCATAGTTTTTTTTTTCTTTCTTGTCAATGGTTCGATATATCCATTGTATAATTTTAACAATCGTAATAGACCAAATTATTGAATCACTTATTAACAATCTGGTTATTTGCGTTAGCAAAATTGTTGAAAACACATTGGAAGTAGTTTTTAGTGGTCATATTTGCATGATAGGTATTTTCTTTTTGTAATAATGTTAGCTTAAAAATGGTATAATATGACGAAAAATATAGTTCATAGAACGGGTAAAAAGAGTCTCGATCATTTCGATCTTGAAACTTAAGCTATGGTTGAAAGGAGTCGCCTTATGCCCTAGTGATGACATATACTATTGTTTGCAAATAAGAAACCCGTTGTTCCTTAAAATAAACCTTACGTCTTATAAACAATAAAGTATTTCAACTGCTAGTAAAACTAAGAAATCTTACTATGACCCCACTATTAGTTACTCATCCAAGGAATGCAGATTGGTATCGATATTATTAAGTAAATTGACTATAGACTTTTGTAAAAGTAAAGTCAGACACTAGATTAAATTTTAGGTACCCTTTAGTTTTTCAAATCAGAATACCAATGAGCTATGTATGTTTGCAGTAAATTTATTTTTGAAAACGTTACCAAAGAAAGGAATGGAACAAAAAGAATATCCACGGAACCAAATTTCAATCATCAGTCTGTGAATGTCCCTTTCAAAAGCCAAGATAAATTGAAATACTTGTAAAGTGAACGGCTTTGATACACACACTGCTATTTGATACTTCATTGCTCACTGATGTTCTCTAGTGGAGCAAAGCGAGAAATGAAAGTGTGTTTGATTGAAGTGTAAAACATTTTTGTAAGTGTAAAATAAGTACATTTTTCTGTAAACATATTTTTACGCCCTGCGCCTTAAACATTGTGATTTCTTGCATTCGGACGTATTATACAGGTTGCCTGGCTATGATATGGGACTTTAGGAAACTATATGTCAAGGTTATTAAACTACAGACGTAAAGGTTTCAATGTTTAACTCAGATGATGTAAATTGTGTTGTGTTTTATTTATTAGTAAATGTATGTTAGTGTTTAACCATATCGTAAGTGTAATTTTGACAAAACAGTATATAGTTTTTTATTGTAATGCTAATAACCGATTTTTAAATATTGCCACTCTTACGTGATTATTTCAACATTAATAGTCGAAAGGCCAACATCAAAAGTCACATACAGGCTACTAAAACGATTCAACACCGTGCAACAGGATTAAACCATCACACCATGTGTTTGAGTTCGTTCTGTGTCTGAGGGTGTTTCAATGTTTTGTTTGGTTTTGTTTGCGAAATTGATTTACGAGCAAACCGTTTAACAAACCAATTATTGGTAGTAATTGAACTAAACTACCTGTAGTAATAGTAGAGTGTGCAATCGAAGCGTGAGGTTCATGTCGTAATCAGCACAGAACAATTGTTGATTACATTAACAAGGTATACGCGACTAGCGCCAACCATTTAATTCTCAGTAAAGTTAACACTTGTACTATACTGGCTCACACCTAATTTTGTAAATGCGTTCCAAGTACAGACAGAAGGCTATTTCACAGTCGTTTTGGTAACTACCAAGAAGCACAGAACTGTAAGTCAATACTACCTTTATCTTCCAGTTTTTGATAATGCATATAGAATATTTATAGAAGCATATAAGACCTGACCCCTTTCATTATTTGTTAGTTGTTCCTAGGGGGAGTGGAAATACTAAATATATTTCCCTATAATAATCCAAACCAAAGACAATCAAACGTATATACAAACTATAACCTCTCCCATTCAATGACATGAAATTCAAATTAAACGGCCAAAACACCAATGTGAAATTTTTAAATAAAGTAGAGCTAACC